TATTGTAGCGGAGGACACGATCTACACCGTCACGTGTTTTGTCCGCTTCCGCATCTCTGATTGATTGTCAATCACGAGCTTATTGATATTTCAATAATAGCTTCGGACACATAATGCTATTGCATTTCCTATATACGTTATAGATAGTTTTGAATTCAGATAAATAAAATATCGGGTATACAACTAAATACAGCATAACTATATTGATATCGTATATTTTAAACAAACAAAAAATTTCATACTACCTTTTAAAAAAACATATAAAAACCCATTACAATTTTCTAATGCCAACCTTAATAATAGATAACGCCGGAATATATATTAAAAATAGGGTATTTCACACCCTGAAGTGTTCTTGGTAGATGATAATTAGTGAATAAGAGGGTCCGTATTATTTCACCGACAATCACTTCATTTCGCAGATAATTATTCATCGACAAGTTCATTTTACCGACAGTCTATTTCACCGAAGCTCATTTCACCGACAAGTTTTTTTTTATAAATTACACTAACTTTAACTCTAGTTCTAACCTAACTCTAATGATATTGACCAGAATTACTTTGTCTGTAAAATGAGCTTCGGTGAAATAAACTGTCGGTGAAATGAACTTGTCGGTAAGTAATTGTCAGTGAAATGTGGTGTCTACGAAGTGATTGTCAGTGAGTTGATGGGATCCCATAAGGAGCTAAATGAGATGTGATCATCTCACATTAAATACTTAGATCAATTAGATAAATGAATAATCACTAAACATAGACTAATGGTGATTAGATAGCTATCGAGATCATGCATAAGTACTACGATTAATTGAAGCGATTACTATTGTAATTTTGTTGAATTCTGATAAAAAAAAGATGGCCTCAACTTTTTTTTTATCATGATAATGTACCAGTTAAACTAGTTTCAACTAATTAAGAATTGAGTTCCGCCTATAATTTATGTGCTTGAGAGAACCTTAAATCATATGACGTATATTGATTGTTATTGTTCAATTGATTAAATACATTCTTGTTATTCAATGGATATCGGTGAATAACAAGATTATTTCATGGGTACGACATAATAACCTCTGTGCAACTACGTAATTAATAAATTAGACTTTCTTATTACTATATTTAGAAATTAAATTTTTAGATTGATCGACTTCTAACTTTATCGATCTATTTTTTTTTTCTTAGCAAAAAATGGGCAAAAGAAGTCGCATCAACACTTCTACTGACAAAGAAGTTCTTGAATTGCAGCAAATTTCACTTGTAGAAAATATGAAAAAGTGCACCTTAAAGTGGTTATGCTCTATTGACAGATTTTGAGAAACTATAGAGTATGAAAAAAGTATTGAAAAAATTGAAATGACAGTGGAATTGGATGACTTTCTTTGCAGGTTCCTTACCTGGTTGAAACATATGGATGGTAAAGATTACAAAGTGGAAAGCATACACAATTGCTATGCTTCTGTAGCTTGGTACGTGAAAGAAAATAGTAAAATTAAGCTGTGTAAGTTGTGGATTCTTACCATTTCGGAAAAGCTTTGCGAACACTTGATGGTAAGATGAAGAAACTTCAGAATGTGGGTTTGAAAGAAACAGACCAAGCATCTGTGTTAAGTTCTAAAGAGATTGTTCAAATACTTGGGTATAAAAAAATGCAAACTAGTACTAATGAGGGTTTGGTGAGACAGGTATTTTTTTGGTTATTGCTTTTTGTGGTCTTTGCGTAATGCCAAAAGAATAAACTTTAAAGATATATCACACCATGATGATAATGGTCTTTTTCTAATATTCAACCATGAGAAGAATAATCAGCATGGGGCATTAAAAAGAAATAAATATGGGAAAAGCTCTGCGTGAAAGATTTCTATTCTGCCAGATGATACCAATAATCATTTTAAACCCATACAAGATATATTGCATATAATTTTGCTATGTTCTGTGGGTGCTTGTTTATCACTCTTTTTAGAGATTACAAGAGCAACAAAGAGTTTAAAATGTTTATTGTTTTGAAATTTTTTTTTATTTGGTATTTTTACTAACAATTTTTTTTATTTTTACTAGATATAAATAAAGAAATTTTTTTCAAAAAAACCTAGATGGGTGTAAACAAGTTGAATATGATGATGGTGAAAATAGCAAAACTAATGGGTATTAATCTTGATAATTGTCACAAGATTAGCAACCACTCTCTACAATGTATGGCAATTCAAAAGTTGAAAGATCTGGAAGTTCCAGAAGATGAATGAATAAAATTTTCTGGGCACTATAGCAAAGAAAGAATTCGGGCATATAGCAGCACAAATAATAGTCAAAAGCTTAGAAATACATTAATGTTGATCTTTTTGGATCTTGATGATATTCTATACGAAGAATTCAATTATTTTTCTAGAGATGCCAAGAATTACTTGAATTTTGAAGAAGATGGAAATGAAGTTATTATGAATTTTATTTTTTAATTTGTTACATTTTTTTTTTTACTATTACATTTTTATAATTAAAATAACTACCAGAAGCACCACCTGAATCACCACCTAAAGCACCACCTAAATCACCACCTAAAGCATCACCTGAAGCACTGCCTGAATCACCACCTGAAGCACTATCTGAAGCATCATCACCAAGACAGAAACCACATATATCAAAATTGTATACCACCTTTTAAAAAGTCAAATATTCCTCCTAAATCTAATATTTGAAAGCCTTCATGAATTCCTCAGCCTGGACCTTTAGCACAATCTGCACAACAATATTATATTTGGGCGATATTTCTAATCATATTACATCTATAACTTATGAAGACTTTAGAGATAATGAAAGTAAAATAAACAATAGAGACGTTTATTACCATTTTCATTATCATTTTTAAAAAAAAAATTGAACTTTTTTAAAATGTATTTTTTTAAAAAAAATGTAATTTTTATTATATTGAAATAAATAATGCACTTACGCTTGCAATTTTTAAAAAATTGGTATTTTTGACATTTTATTTCTATCAGTCTATATGAAAATCACATTTTCATATAGACCAGTAAAGATAACCTAAGAAAATACTTACGTAATTGAAATATAATGTAAAAATCTGACATTATATGACAAAGAGTTTTGTAGACCAATTTCAACCTATTAAAGATTTTTAGAGCTATTAATGCAACGCTTGTATAAATACTATATTGCTTTAAAATTATTATCACTGTAGTAACTAATAATATTTAATGCAAAGCTTATTGATATATTTACCACAATTTGAGTCATGGCCAAATCATGCTCTAGTCATAACACAAGTTATAGTTTCAATGATTATAGTTTAATCCAGAGCTATGACTTTAAAAAGCGACTCACTTGCAGCTGATGCTGAGTCATAGCAACACCAATTTTTTATAGGAGGATCTCTAAATTTCCAAGTTAGAATAGCTGAAATGTAAGGGAGCTATCACTTATTACGTAATTATAGCCCCTCTCCAGAGTCAGTCATTTGACAATTACAAGTTCTAAAGTAATCATAATATAAACCATATACGATTGGTTATTTTAGAGTTTGAAATTGTCAAATGATTGATTACTTTAGAACTTATAATTGTCAAATGACTGACTCTGAAGGAGGACTATAATTACATAATAAGTGATAACTTCCTATCAATATAAAATTTGATGGGATAAAATAAGCATGGTTCTGAAATATGCATATTAATCTAAAGAATTTTTAAATCTTTACAATGAAGTAAGGTTAAATTGTTCTGATACAAGATCGGTCATTAAAAAATTGGATTAATTTCTAATAAAAAAAGAAACAAAATCCTAATAATATTATTAAATGGTGTTTAGATGATCAAGTAAATCCTACGGCTAAAATTATTCTTGCATGTTGTTATCGGTTTGGTAAATGGGTTAAAAAAGATGAATATAAAGCATTCATTTATTATCAAAAATCAGTTGATATGGGGCTTGTTGAAGGAATGTTTTATGTTGATATTTGTTATAATGAAGGAATTGGTGTTAAAGAAGATATACATAAGGCATTTATTTATTATCAAAAATCGGCAGATATAGGTAATGCTATGGGAATGTATAATGCTGGTTGTTATTATGATGAAGGAATTAGTGTTAAAAAGGATGAATTTAAGGCATTCATGTATTATCAAAAATCAGCTGATATGGGTGATGTTTTTGGAAAATATAATGTTAGATGGTGTTATGAGAGGGGAATTGGTGTTAAAAAGAATAATCATGAAGCATTTTTTTTATTATCAAAAATCAGCAGATATGGGAGATATTGACGAAATAAATCGAGTTGGTTGTTGTTATCAGTTTGGAATTGGTGTCAAAAGGGATGAATATAAGGCATTCGTCTATTATCAAAAATCTGTTGATATGGGTTGTGCTGATGCTATAGATCATGTTGGATATTGTTATCTCTATGGATTGGTGTTGAAATAGATGAATATAAGGCTTATATTTATCATAAAAAAATCTACTAAATTGTAATAAATTAAAATTATATATTCAAATTAAAAAAAATTATTTTAAAATAGTTTATAAAATATCTTGATTATAATTTTCAATACTAATTCTTTTTATTAATAAAGTATACAGTAAAGTTATTTTATTAAAATGGCTTATAATATTAAAAAATTATAAATATTTATATATCTTATAAATTAAATTATAGCGAATATTTTACAGTTTTAATAGAATTAATCTTAAATTAAATTATAATTTTATAAATTATAATTTAGTTATATTAATTTTTAATAAAAAATGGGTATAAATTTTACAAAACGCCTGTGTCAGAATCACGCATCAGATGCTAGGATTATTAAACACAAAGCATAGAACAACATGGCCACAAACATTTTCAAATATTTACAAACAAACTAAGGCTAATTTTGAACGATTATATATCATTGCCTAATTCTTTTTTTATTGAAATTTATTCAACTAATCATTATAAATAATATTTGAAAAACTACATTCTTCCTATAAAAATTAAATTTTATTAAAGATAGTTAGAAATGTCATCTAGTTCTCATGTGGGAATTCTGATAGAGAAGGTTCCAGATAAAAATATGGAAATTTTGAAAATTGCCTGCTCGCCTAATTTGGAACATGTCGTTGCATTGGACAAAAATAACAATATTAGTCTTTGGTCTATTGTTAGTCAAAACTTAACAAAATAAATACTGTTCATATTGACAACATTAGTATTAAGAAAAAAGGTGAAAGAATGCTGGCCGTTTCAGATAATAAACATGCTTCAATTAGTCTTAATAGAGTGGTTCCTTATAATTTCAGTAAGTTATGTATAAACTTAATATTATTGTTATTTCAATAATTCAATTTATTTATAGCATTATGTATTTTTCCAAGAAATTTTCAATCTTGAAACCGGAAAGGAGGTTTTATTGATATTTCCAGATTGGCAAAATGAAATTAACTTCTTATCCTTTATCATTAATGGGAATCTTATAATGGTCAATACAAAGTATTACAGAGCATATATTTTTACAAGTGAAAATAATGTTAGTTGGGTTTGTAAATCAATGATTGAATTGAAATATTTTAAAACAATTTATATTACCCTTAAAGGCAAATTGATCTTATTTAATGATACGATTTATGAAATTACGATGTGGAATATTGAAACATTATCAGTTAAAACTCGTATTTTAATAGATTGGGATTATATACCTTGGTATATTGAAATTAGTGATGATGAAGAATTATTATTAGTGTGTGCACATAATGATGAGGCTAAGGAAGCTGAAGAAAAAACACGTTTATACTCTTTTTCCACCGAAACTGGGATAAACCTGTCGATGTGTAAGATTCTAAATTAAAATTAATAATAACTGATAGGATAAAATTTTTAATATTAATTTTATATTTTTTTTCAGTTACTACATCATTAGTAATTAGAAGATTGCACTTGATCGCATCCCAAAAAGGAGAAAGATTATTATATATTTCAGGCGATCAATATAATTTAATGGACCCTTATTACCTCACAAATCCAATAGATGCGAGTAAACTTTTTGAAAAGAATGAAGATAAGCAAATTCAGGAACCATATATAATTCGATCAGATAAAATAATTTATACGATTAATACAAAATTATCAATTAAAGAATTAGTCCCTGATAATTCTGATGATTGGGTTGAATTCTTACGAAAAAAACTGAATGACAGAAATAGCATTACAGCTCCGTCAGAAAAAACAATTGATATTATAACTAAAATTATAAAAGATGGTATTTATAACCCTGACAAAATAAAGTTTGAAGGGAAATATTTAAAATGGGAATTAGAATTAGATGATGAACAAGTCAGACTTATAGTAGTTGATTATAATTATCACAGAAAAAACTGGAATGATAAAAAAAAGCATCTGGATATACTTCCATCATTTCATCCTAATGGAAAAGGTTTTATATTACACTGTGAAATTCTTGAAAATGATGATTTCGTTACGTTTACACGCATTGGAATAATTATCTCGACTTATAAAAAATCTGATATTATTATTGGAATGATTGGAATGGCAGTTTGGAGGATTTCGTTTTTGAAAAGATGAAGATTAAATTTCTCACTGAGAACTGGACCTCAGGACGAATTCTTCCTGCTTCAAGTTATGAAACAATCATTTATAATTTAGATATTAAATTTGGCAATAAAGAGCTTTTCAAAGAGTTTTTATTAAGAAATATTGATGATGAATTTTATTTAACTTGCTACGGAGAAATTTCTATGGAAATATTAATTTCAATAAGGGATGATAAATGGATTCGACGTTTAGGTCACAACATTATGGAAAAGTTTGTGAAAGATAAAAATCATCTGATTTCTAAAATTTCTTTGTTGAGTATTATTTTTGAAAACTTTAAAGAGCTATCAGAAAATCATCCTGCTTTTATAAAAAGTTTGTTATCTTTGATTGCATTTGTAGTTCCTTCTATTACCGTAAATCCAAAATCTACTTCTTCGCATCTTTCCAGCTATGGAAAATACTATCATTTATCTAAAATATCGTCTTTTGATATATTTTCTAATCCTTGTGTTCGTTTGCTTAGTTATCCTTGTGTTTGTTTGCTTAGTTTACTTAGTTTTTTTCATAAATGTTTTCTAAATAAACGTGTAGGTCATAGTTCAACAATACTTGCAATTCCTCTACCAAACTTTGTTTCTTATTCAAAAAATTATAATTTTTGGAGAGAATTAGTGTTACCTAGCCCAATTCTTTTATATATTCAAATAATCTTGAAATGATTACTGAAGAGATGTATTACTCGAATTTAAATGGAATACTTATGGAAAAAAATATTATTTGGCAATTTGGGCAGTTTACACTGTTTTTCTTGGAAGTTTAATAATTGCCGCGATGAATTACAAAATTATTTCTCAGACTACCCTATTTACTCTCTTAAATATAACTATTTGCCTTGGGATTTGGCATTTATTTTTTGAATTACGTCAATTTATATTTGCACCGTTAGCTTATATGTATAGCTTTTGGAATATTTTAGGTGAGTTTTTTTAATCAATATATCTATTAAGATATGCGTATATTAAATTTACTATTTAATAGATCTTGCTGCTATAATTTCTACTACTACAACCTCTATTTATTGGCTAAAAAATGGATCTGCTCCAACATGGGCTATCACATTTTCAACTTTATTCCTCGAAATAAAATTTATTCTTTTTTTTCGGGTTACTAAATTTTTTGGAATCTATCTTGCTATGATTATGAAAACTGTAGACAAAGTAATATCTTTCGTAATAATATTTGGATTTTTTATACTTGCTTTTGCACATTCATTACACCTCTTGTTAGGATCTGAGTCTGAAATATCTCAAGGTATTCTATATGAAAATTGGTTTTTTATCAATCTTATTATAAATGTGCGTATTAAGCTATTCACTATTAATCATAATAATTATTATTATTATTAGATTTAAATTTAAATATGTTTTCACAATTTGGGTCTGCAATTCTAGCGTCTTATTATATGATGATTACAGGTACATTTATAGTTTATCAATATTTAATTATTTAATTTTATTTAAAATATTATTTATTATTTAATTAGGCGATTCAACTCCTATTTCATCATGGATTTCAAATGAAAATGTTGTGATAATGCTTTTAATGATTATAGTTTCATTTTTTATGCTTATTTATTTGATGAATTTATTTATTGGAATTATTAGTGATTTAATCAGCAATGCTGACAATCATATTGCTTATTTGACTTTAAAAAGCGAGGTATTTTTTAATATTTATTTTTAATTGAAGTATTTTTTTATAATTAACTTATTTTATTATATTATATAGGTTATTGAAGAAATAGAGTTATTTTATATGTTACCTCATCAACGAATAAAAGAAAATTGGTTTCCATTTGTTATGTAAGTTGTCTAAATAAATGTAAAAAAAAAGTCACTTCTATTACTTATATATTTTTATATTTATATTTGAAGTTTTTATGAATGCCACACAGTTCAACTCCGTGAACATGTGATATTTACCCAAAAAGATAAATGGACAGGTTTTAAAAAACCTTTTATTTCAAAAAATCTTAATGAAATTCTTCTACTCCCCGAAGAACCTTCTCTTAAAGAAATTGAGTATAATATTGAACATCGAATTGAGGGAATTAAGAGAATAATTGAGAGTAAATTTAAGGATCTACCCACTCTTAAAGATCTTGAGGATCTAAAAGAATCAATTAAAGAACTTAAAACAAATAAATAATATTTCTAATTGAAATAGTATAAATGGTAATTATTTGACGAAATTTAACAATATACAATTTCAACATTTTAATGTTATTTTCTTATAAAGTGTGAATGTCACGCGCCATTTTTCAATTTATGTCAATTATTGATCAATTAACTGTGCATGTGCAAGATGAGTTAATCTGTATTGAGTATTATGAATTAGATATTTAATATATTATGAACTGACATTCATAAGCGTTATAGATTGAATGTTCTTAAAATATTATGGACTAAGATATCCTCAAATATAATAGACTAAATGTTCTTGAACGTTCAAATTTACTATATTGTATTTACTCAACATTTGTTTACTAGTAAAAGGCCAGATTAATTAATGTTTTGCTCATAATGATTTTATCCTTCATTTTCTGTTTTTTTTTTGATTATTATTTTTTTTGATAAGTTAGAAATTATTATAAAAGGTATATGACAGTAAGAAATATTTATTGAATTCTGCCTTTTGACTAATGATTTGCGATAATTTTAAAAATTGACCTGAGTTAATTTTTTTCTGTGGAAATTAAAAATGGCATACATTAATTAATAATTTAATACTGAACTCGCTACCTTTTCTACTTTATTATTGGAATCAAGCTGAACGGTAGTGCTTAGATCTGGTCATCTATTTATCTACCTAGACAATTATCTGATCAATTCGGTCATATGTAGATAATTATCTGATTAATCCGATCATTTCTGGATAATTATCTGGATATCTAATGCCTGATCGCAAACCTTTGAGAAAATGAAAATATTAAATAGGCTATTAATCTTAGCAAAAATTTTTACATATTTATTTATTTATTAATTCTTGCTAGACATGTAAAGTGTACGTTTTTTTTAATTATAATGAATTATTTATATTATTATTTTTATTTAGTACTATAAGACATCGCTCTGTCAAAGTTTT